TTCTTCAGCCGACCGTGAAAAGACCCTCTGCCTTGGTGGTCACCCTCACCTCGACGCCGCTTAAGGTTTCTGCAGGGCCAGTACGCACTAGCTATGGTTGACACAACGGTGGACGAACTTGCTGTCTTTGCTGGCGGATCTCCTGCCAAGCTTTTTGTCCGAAACAGTGACAGAGACGACCGCAGCTTTGATTTGCGTTTTTTGCTTACGTTTCACCTTGTGTTGTATGTTCGTCGATGCTTTGCTTCTAGGAGCCGCGGCCTTGGAACTGGAACAGATTCTCTGCGATGGGTGGAAAGTGCCTTTGCTTGAGTCTGTGCCCTTGGGAATTTGGCGTGTCACTGGGGAGCGGGATGATTGGTGGTGTCCACGAGGCTTGGTGTTAGACTGCTGTGTCTAGTCATAGTCTGTGGCACACAGCGTTCACAAGGCTGGGGGCACAGCCCCTGCCTGCCTGCCTGCCCGCCCGTATTCAAGGTCACACTCTCACTCTCCCTCTCACTCATGCGCCATCATTCCTTTGCCTCCGCTTCTGTTTTCACACAAAAACTTCACATGTGGGGTTGTCCAGTCCCCCATGATTCTGGGCCGTCCAATCAGTGGGTTTCCGCGACCAAATGGTCTAAAGTGGAGATTGTTGGACTGTTGGATGGGTCAGAGGTTGTAGGAAAGTTGTCAAGACTTTGCCCTTTAAAGTCCCTGCTCGGGACCGAGTTGTAGGTTGATGCTGCACATGTTCACTTTGGATCGCGTGCCCTATCCAAAGCAGTGCGGTTTGGCAGAGCTCGCCAGATGCAAAAATATGACGCAGAAAATGTCGTGCGGCCCGTGACACTTTTCGAAGGAAAACAATTGCAATGTCAGGGGAAGTGACGGCTGTAACCAGCATCAGTTTTTCGATTTTTGTTTCCGGAAAACATCTCCATATCTTGGTCGGTTCACCACCATTCAGAAGAGGTGGTGATGGATTCAACTCCAAATGTTCGGATTTTCAATTTGCAGGCTGTCGTTTTGGAGGGTTTTTGGGGCATGACTGCTTGCGCCGCAGCATCAATAGCGCGTCTGGAGTTGCCGCAGCAACCACACGCAGTGAAGGAGCCATGTCTAGGCTTACATAAAATCTTTCACATTTGGTCTGGAAATCACAACAACTCTCTCTGCATCGAATCTATCCACGTGTACGGATCAAGTCAAAACTAGGCCTTTCGTGAGCAAATGGTCATATTTCGATTTTTTCAGTCCTGCGCACAGTTGGGACGTATACAGGCTTGACTTATGACCCCAATTGCAGATAGATATAACTTAGATAATTATAGAAAACGACAACACAGATTGTTGATAGCTTCATACAAAACCCCAGGGTAGGGGTATTTAGTCACATCCACCACTTTCGTCGTCGTGTGTCGCGCGGTTGGCGATCCAGCGTTCAGAAGTCCACCTCACGAGAATCTATTTGCGCAACACGTCGGGACACTGAAGCTTTGGGAAACGTTTCAACTGCAGCGAATTTCTTCCTACATTCAAACATTATAGGCCTTCATTGTAAGTTCGATATGAAAAAGAGCTTGGTCCGGTAGAAAGACCCTGGTTGCTTCCGACGGAAGGTTCGCCCCCCCTCTACTCGACAGAGAAATCCTTTGTCCAAGCAACCTCACCATACTCCTCCAAAGCGCCCGAAGACACGAACAGTCTCACCTGGAAAAAACCGATCTGATGCCGGTGGAGCCCGGGAGAGCATAGAGTTGCTGCGGGGTGTTGGTGGCTCTGCTCGAAAACTGCCGTCCGGAGACCCAGCATGAGGAGGTGTAAGAGAAGAGCAAGAGCTTGGTACAGCAAGACATGGTTGTTATGTAATTATGGTGGACACTGGCAAAAAGAAGGAGCCTCCTGGAAACTGGTTGGTTTCCAGGAGCATAATGAGAGAAAATGAGCATAGTGAGCTGACAGCCGAAACAGGTTCTTCAACCCTTGGAAAGGGGATTGGGTGCCATCCTGCTGCTTCGTTCAAAAGACCCATTGTTCTCACTTGTAGTGACTCTGCGCACAACTACCTTGGAGTTTGTCCATGAAGGCCTTGTTGTTGAACGGTTGGCTTGGTGCAGAGCAACTTTGCCATGCAAGGCAGAAGCGCTGGGTGCAGTTCGGAAAGCATGGCTGCAACTTGGTCACAGGTAAAGATTCAGCAGAGAGTCATATGGCAAGAAGCAAGTCACCCCCACCCTCGACAGCCAATCTTGTGCCAAGGACTTCAAAAAAACCTGGTCCCTTTCCTCATTGAGTCGTGCTTTAGTACGATCAACTCCAATCAACTCCAGTAAATTGAGGTCACAACTGACCTGTGGGGCAACTTCCCGCTTCCTTCCCGCTTCGTTGGGTCGGATTTCATCCACCGAAGACGTTCCGTTCGAACCCCTTCCGTTCCATTCCGAAGCGATCGCAGCGCGAACGCGCCCAGGCGTTGTGGCAGGTGAAGGCGATTTTTCAGTCGAAGCTGGGAGATGGAAGTGGCGCCTCGCTGGACCGGCAAAGCTGCTCGGAGGGAGTTGGGACGCTTCGAAAAAGGAGGAGGATTTGGAACTGGAAGGGGGGGAAGTGGACGCTGAGCATCGCTGTTGGAAATAAAACAGAGAGGGAGGAAGAGAAGAGAGATCTCCCCACGCCAGATGATCTTGCGTTTTGATGCGTGTGTTTGGCGGTGCAGTCTCAAGTTTCATGTTGACATTCCAAGATTCAGCTGTCCAAGCTGTTCAAGCCCTGTGGCGTCCCAAGGCTACATTGAAATTCTTCAGGATATTGGTGTCACATTGCAGGAGGCCAAATGTCTTCTGCAGGAGAGAGTTGTTGATGTTGTTTGTGCGAAGAATTGCTTCAGCAGTTTCACATGGAAGCAGGACAAAACCCTGCGACTTCTTCTTAACTTGTTTTTTGAGTAACAGTAAAAGGGTTTCTTTTCATGATCTGAAATTCAACCCCAGCCATGCAATCCATGTCAGGGTGAGTCGGAGTTCTGAAGACTTTTGCCGTTTTTCTTCGTTTCGTCGCCAAAGAAAGAAGACGCAGTGGACCACCTGCGCAGCGCAGAAACTGCTTGAGTGTACCCCCCTTGACACGGTGGAAACCACGCGCGCAGGAGTACCCTGAGGACTCATGGATTCGCAGCTTGGCAGAGATTGACAGGAGTAGTCTGAAAGGAAAAAGATCCTTTTGGAGGGTCTGATGATGATTTTTCACGTCGTTGCGCCATCGGTCGTTTTTTTGTGTAACTGAGCAACTTTTGAGGTGTGAAAGACTTCTTGGATATCTTCTTCACCTCTCCAGAGGTGCACTTCTTGGGAGCTTCATGTCGTGCAACAGAAAAGCATCCAGCACCGGGCCAGCATCGGTTTTTGCAACTTCTGAGTCGGATATAAAGAGCTTAAGCAAATGACGTGGCCTTGATAAGAGAGGATGCCAGATAGCTGAATCTTAGGGTTCTTACTTCTCTTGGACCAGGCCCTGCTCGCAACTTTTCATCTTAAAAACCATCAAGACAGGTCCTGATCGCAACTCTCCCGCTTGGAATCCTGGAATTATGCTTTGATCGCAACAATTGTTGCATCCAGGAACCGTTCCTAAATCCCATGTCACGTTTTGCTTGCCTAGTGCTACTTGCATTGGACTTGGCTGAGATTGACAGAGCTCGTTGTTTGGACCGCGGCCTGTTTAACGCGGCCGATGTGCCGTGTTTTGCGGACTTTCGAACTCAGTGGCCGCAAGGCCGCAAGGCTGTCTTTTGAGTACGCTGAAGTACAAAGCCGTCTTGTTGTAGCGATTTTACGAGAGTATCTGATCTCACTGTGCCCTACCTGCCTTACCCCAGGCCAGTCTCAAAGACTACTTTGAGAAAGGCTACAAGAAAGGCCTTGTTTTCGATCATGAAGACTATCAGCATGACGCGGATGACTGGTGCTGGGTCCACACCAGACTGGGTGTGAAGGCGCCTTGGAAAAGGAATGTGAACCTGACCTGTTGCGTGGCATTTGATCCTTTTTGAGACACTTTTTGCACTAGCTGAGCTGGACAACTGTGGAAGTGTCTCTCAGGTTTGGCAGGACATCCTCGACCTGACTCGAGCCAGTGATGCCAGTGGTGTGCAATGCGTTTTTCACTACACCACTGAGCTTGGCTTTAGAAACATCACAGATCCCAGAAAGACACTGGTGGAAGTCTTCGTGATGCCCTCAGGATCTTACGAAATCTATGTATGTTTTGCATTCAACGCATCCTGTTGGTCAGCTGCCTGCGTTTGCCTATCCACAGGCTTCTCTGATAACGAAGGGTGAGAAGGCCAACGCCTGGTGGGGGCAAGGCAAGACTGTCTACTTGCACTGATTGTGCTTTGAACCAAGCATGCACCAGAAAATGATTGCAGGGTGTCTCATAGTTCGTGGAAAGGCTGGTACACTCATTCAGTCACATCAACACTATTGTGCGATAGAAATGCACTGGCCAGGAGTTTATTCCGTGCAGAAGCCCCCAGACGAGTGGCCGGATATCGAAGCACTCATCGACAATAACTATCGTAATATGCTAAAGAGGGACATCGACTTGAAGGGTCGCGAGGCAGCTGTGGAGGAGAGCTTTTGTGTTCCTCGGTGATGTTCTTTTGCCAGTCGAATTTAACCAGCAGACTCACCTGATAGTAGAGGAAGACTTTGATAGACTTTGTGGGATACATGTGATACATGTGCCTTTACATTTCCTGACGGAGGAGTACAGGTCGAGGGTTGGCTTTTGCATTCCTATTCTGGTCAATGCATCCATTGCCTATGATGTGTCCAAGAGACAAACGCCTGAAATGGCGGAGCAGGTGAGGTTGTGGATGGTGAGGTGGTTTTGATTTCCTTCGAGTTTATGGAAAGGGTTGTTGCATGCTGTTTCAGATTTGTTTTGAAAGGATATGCTGTGTTTTTTCCTTTATTTTTTTCGGTGCGAACGGTGCATCCTGTGCGTCTGGTGCACAGGGGAAGCCCGTTGGTGTGCCGGATCCCTAGTTGCCATCGATCCAGTACGATGTGTGACGACCCGACGCGACTGACTCGACGCAATGGGACCACCTTGAAATTGCCTTGGAATGGTACAATTGGACCACCTTGGAACTGTACCTTGGTTTGGACCACCTCGACTGACTCGACACGCCTTGTTCCTAAGTCTAAGCTTTGGCCAAGGAACTTGGCTGGAAAGCTGCTCAACGAAGATGGTATGCCGCCTCGACAATGTATCGTCGTCCGAGCGGAAACGGTGGAGGAGGAGGTTGGCAATGCCAGGGCAGTGCTGATGGATGCGACGCTTGTTTGCGATGAGGACTCCCGTCATGAACGGTTATATAATGCACGCCGCGCTCCAGGGATCACAATGCTTCAAGGCACTCCTTATCGCCGACTCTATGCGGTCCAAGCGCGGCCCTCATGGCGGCGCTGTGGTCACCATGCGAAGCATGTGAGACGCAGTCGGCATCAAAATGGACGGGCCACATCACAGGCCCTCCTCACCGGCCTGGAGCTAGTCCACTCACGGACCCTGGACACCACTCGATCCAATGTCTCAGGGGAAATCGCCAAAAACATACCACCAGAAGGAGTCAAGATGCCAAGCGAAGAGCAATCTTTCCCCTCAAACAAAAGATCTTGAAACTCGAAGTGGCGACAAAACAGCTTCAAGGCATTCCTGACTAGCCGAATGACGCTAGTCATCAAAGGACGTGTAAAGTGGTGACCCATTGGGACCAACTCAAAATTCTTACTGGAGGCCATAAATTGCGGGAGAGGAAGGCCCAACTCCCTAACCAACAAAAACACCACCTCGAACCAGCTAGCGGCATATAAGCCAAGATCACCCCCACCACAAACAAAAAACCGATTTATGATCTCCTGCAAGAAAACCTTACCCCCAGGTAAACGAATCTCAGGTAAGGTAGCCAATCTATCTGTACAAGAAATCAGTGAAACTTGCCTTTCCGGAAGATGGACAGGAAAGCCCGCATTAGGCTCAGGCCGCTCAGAATCCGTCACAGTGCCACCCGCATGAACAGCGCGGAAAAAAGCGAAGACCTTTGCGGAGCGATCCATCATCTCGTTATGACGGTTGATGGCAGCAGCTCGAAGGTGACTAAGACGACCAGGCAAAGCTCTATTCATAAGGCCAGCCTGCAAATCAACTGCACGGTTCCATTGCCAAGCCCAATCATGAAAGCAGTCTTCGCAGCTCAAATGATGCAGGTGAGAAGGCCACCAGCGTATAGTGGGCAAACACTCCTGAAGGTCGGAAAGCAGCTCACAAATAGGCGTCCAGAGATCACGATTGCTCCAGTGGCTCGGAACAATGAAGTGGTCCATCAAATAAAGGACACCATCCACTGTGTGCTTCGAATCCACCCACAAGAAAGCAGGCACACGCGTTCGGCTAATCCAGCGAAGAGCAGAGAGCACTGCCGTAGCTTCAGCTCGTGGAATGCTCTGCGTGATGCCAGGCAGCCAACCTGAGCTCAGCACCATACCCGAAGAGGCGCTTGTCACACTCCATGAACAAATATTGAAGGCGCTGACCGGCCCGGAATGGCAAGAGCCATCAGTGAAAAGGTGGTGAGGCGACAAAGGCTCCACATACTCAAATACACTGGTGTCATCAGGAATGGTCTGCAGGGCAAGCCACCAAGCGGAGAGCCATGGATTTCGCTGGCACAAAAGATGGTGTTTAAAAGCTCTGGGCCAGTTTGACCAATCTGCAGGCCACAAGGGGACAGCCGCACGACAAGGTTCCTTCCTAGGACAAGTGTACCAATGCAGAACCGAATCCGCTGTCTGACACTCAGGACAAAGGCCCTTAGTGACATCGAACTTGGACTTCATGTCATCCGCAATGAAGGCGCCGGAATGCAAAGAGTTCAACAATCCACACGTGAAGCAGAGTCCAGAGGTTTGCCAAGCTCATACATCAAGAAGGGATCCAAGCTAGCAAGGTCAGACATAGACTGCCTGCGTTGGAGACCTGGAACCAAGTGCTGCAACCAAGCATCACGAAGAAGAGCCTGGACCATAAGCCAATCCGCTTCAAGAACGTTGAAGGCTAGACCAAATGTAGTGGTCAATGTCGGAGGATCCAAAGACCATCCAAGAAGTTCACAAAGGGCATGAATCTTCGAAAAAGGTCCAGGGCAAAGTTGACCACAAAATCGCGCCTCAAAGTGACACCAAGCAGGCAAAAGATTAGTATCTTTGTAGGCCAATCGACGAAGCGTCTGAAATGCACGAGTCAGTTGATAGAGCCCAGGGTCAGCCAAAGGTTGCAAAGAAAGGGTGAGCCTCAGCACCGGGCTAACACCAGCCGTCTTGAGTCGTAATCCTCGGCAGGCCAAAGATCGAAGATGCCCCAGGTGAGTATCAGCAAATAAGCAAGCTTCAGCTCCATGCAAGGCCTGAGGCCAGAACGAAAGCGGCAACACAGCCAGTTTCTGTGAGGTAGGAGCCCTTGAAGCGGTAAACTTTTGCCACTTGCTTTCCAGAGACTCAAAGCGGAGCCGAAGATGATGGTTCCTAAGCATCCGACAGAAAGTCATGCTGCCCCCAACATCCCGAGCAGCATAGTTGCACGCCAACCCAAGTGAGCGCAGAGCATGACGATCCTTCGTGGTCAATGCCCAAGTGAAGGTCTTGTTCCGATCTGCTTCCATGAGCCACATTTCCAAGAAGGCCTCGTTGGCAAAGAAGGCCCCAGCAACAGCCTCAACCGTGGCTCCCTGGGTTGAAAGAATCGCATGTAGATGTGCCATACATAGTTCAGCTGAACCGTGCCATAAACAGACATGGCGTCACCTTCCGGTAGACTCACCAATGAAGTAGTAGCCTCGCTGAGTGTGTCATGGACCAGAAAAGCCCGAGAGCAGCCAAGAAGAATGTGTGCTGCCTGGGGATACGATTGAAGGGCTTCACCAAGTCAGTACTCAGACCAACAAGTGGTCGTTGGTCAAGAACAGCAAGTTCAATGTAACTCTGAAGGGTCCACCAGAGCTGGGTTGCCTCCTTTGAGGGCATGAACCCATACATCGAGTCCGGTGCATGGGAAGTAAGGAGCTTCAGCAACTGCCTGGATCGAATCGAGCCCCACGTACGGTAGACCAAGCTGAAGATGACAATGGGGCGAAATCCATTGGGATCATGTGCCTCCGCTTCCTTAGCCAAACATAGGACAACTCCATGGACCATCTGTTCCGGCCATCCCAATTGCTGGTCTTCAAGGCGATTGAGCCAATCAACAATGCTAGCGTGCCACCGGTCTGGTAGACGAAGAAGGTCAATATGACCAATGCCATCAACCCCTTTGGCAGCATGAGCTTTATATCGACGGAGCATAGATTTCCATTGAGCCACCGAAATGGGGGGCAAAGCCAACCGCAATCGCGGGACAAAAGCTTGGACAAATCCCGTGACCCGACTCCAACATTCCTCCGGGATGTCAGAGAAAGCACACCATCGAGATTTCCAGAATTTGAGCAAGGCCGCATGGGTGTCATCAGCTGAGTGCAAATATCTGCGCTGGGTCAAGATCGCTCCAACCTGCCTCACAGCGGGTGGCTCAATTTCACAGACATTAGCATCAATGGCCGAGACGTGGACAGCCACACCGTCGATAGACCAAGTGGAAGAACCTGGCTCAACGGGATGTTCCAGCATCACTTGTTTCGACTGAGGATCGAGCTCCATGATGTCATAATCAACGTCTTCCCAGAAAATTGAAATACGCTCAGGCGCCGCAGCTTTGAGGTCCTTGTGCATGGCTTGTAAAGTGCGGTCATACCTGAGGTCAAACAACTTCCTTTTCTGAAGCAAATGCCATTGCTCAAAAGAACGGAAGGCCGTCAAAAAGACCTGGTAGATGTCCTCGGCAATCAAAACACCCGGCGGTGCAACCGGCAAAGAGGCAGGAGCACGGTCCGGATGGTGAAGCAAGTGAGCCTCCCACCAACGACAAAAGCCATGTCGAAAACCACGTGCTTTCCGGATGGCCATCCAGAGTTCAAGCCTTGCCGTGAGTGCGGCAGGATCTTGTCGATCAGCTCTGGCAGAATGAAGGTAGCTCTGAATGCGCCGCAACTGCCGCAACTGTTGAAACCAGTGCCGCACCGCAGCTCCAACCTGATCAGATCTCAGTTGCACCTCCATCTGACGACTAGGTGCACAGGCAGCTGCCGTAGGAGGACGTAGATGTGGTGCAGTCTGCTGGCATCGTCCTCTCTGATGTCCAATGAGATGCCCATCAAGGCTGGCTTCCAGGGCAGCACCAAATCCAGCATAGTCAGCAGTAGGATCAGTTGTTGCGAAAAGACTAGAACAATCGCCGGCTTGCCAAGATTCATCTACCGACTCCCAAGGAATCGCGGAAGGACGGTGCCAGAATCGACACTGCGTAGCCATAGTAGGAACCTCCAAGTCAAGGTGAAGCGAGGCATGGTCCGGAAAGACATCACGCAATCCGACATCCCGCACCAACTCAATGAGCTCCGGACTCATCCAGATGTGATCACTAACAGCCGTGTGTTTGGAGGTAGGTTGGATGCTCCAGCCCCCAAACTTCATGAGCGAACTGTTGAAGGTTGCGCCACCCCAAGCGCCGCCAAACATCGTAGGCATCCTGGTCCGTGCAATCTGAGTTCAGATCACCCAGGATCACCCGAGGACCAGAGCATCCAAACACGATCTCGCTACTGAGCACATTCAACAATCGGCCATTGAGGGATTTCGCATTCGGCCAAGTCGGCCCCCGGGGGTAACAGTAGACATTGCCAACAGTAACCACGAGGTTGGGCAGAACATGACGAGTGGCTTGAAGCCGGCCACAATTGAACTCCTCACTGCGGACTGGCGCTGGTGCCCCATGCAAAATTACCGGAGATCGGCCAATAATGCGGGCAAGTCTCTTGAAATTTCTGGTGCATACAGGCTGTGTGAAGGCCGAAGGCTGTGTTTCACTGAAGGCCCAAATACCCCATCCGAGGTCCAGTGCAAAGGATTCCTTCCGAAGAAGCCCGGCTGGGTTCGAAGTGCCGATGCGTAGTAACTGAGTGTCTCCAGGCCCAGGATGGCTAGCCTCCCCAAAGGGACCAGCGAAGACGTACCTCGGGAACGGATATTCAATATCAGGCAAGGAGTCCACAACAGGGACCGTCGCCATGTGACCGACTAGGCCAAACTCTCCCGACTGAAAATCACAGTAGTCTTCAGATGAAAACCCCGTGCTGACATAGAGCGGCTCAGCAAGGAGAGGATGGCCCAGCGCCAATGGCCCACGG